CCAGCCTGGGCAACAGAGCAAGACTCAGTCTCAAAAAGAAAACAAAACAAAACAAAAACAAAAATTAATAGGGCACAGTGGCTCACGCCTATAATCCCAGCATTTTGGCAGACCAAGGCAGGCAGATCACCTGAGGTCGGGAGTTCGAGACCAGCCTGACCAACATGGAAAAACCCCACCTGTACTAAAAATACAAAATTAGTCGGGTGTGGTGGCTCATGCCTGTAATCCCAGCTACTCAGGAGGCTGAGGCAGGAGAATGGCTTGAAACTGGGAGGGGAGGTTGCAGTAAGCCAAGATCACACCATTGCACTCCAGCCTGAGCAAGAAGAGTGAAACTCCATCTCAAAAAAAATTTTAAAAAATTAGCTAGGTGTGGTGGCTCATGACTGTAGTCCCAGCTACTCAGGAGGCTGAGGCAGGAGAATCGCTTGAACTCAGGAGGCGAGACTGCAGTGAGCTGAGATCGCACCATTGCACTCCAGCCTGGGCAACAAAGCCAGACTCTGTCTCAAAAAAAAAATAAATAAAAGAAAGAAAGGGAAAGAAGCGCTATAATAACTTGTATTTTAACAAAGGGGAGACTGGGCGCAGTGGCTCACACCTGTAATGCCAGCACCTTGGGAGACTAATGCAGGAGGCTCATTTTGACGCCAGGAGGTCAAGACCAGCCTGGGCAACACAGCAAGGCCCTGTATCTCCAAAAAATGAAAAATTAGCCAAGCGTGGTGGCACATGCCTGTAGTCCTAGCTACTTAGGAGGCTGGGAGGTAGGAGAATCGCTTGAGCCCAGGAAGTCAAGGCTGCAGTGAGCAGAGATCCTGCCACTGCACTCTAGCCTGGGCCACGGTGTAAGACCCTATCTCAAAAAATAAAAACAGGCCGGGCGCGGTGGCTCAAGCCTGTAATCCCAGCACTTTGGGAGGCCGAGACGGGCGGATCATGAGGTCAGGAGATCGAGACCATCTTGGCTAACACAGTGAAACCCCGTCTCTACTAAAAAATACAAAAAACTAGCCGGGCGAGGTGGCGGGTGCCTGTAGTCCCAGCTACTCAGGAGGCTGAGGCAGGAGAATGGCGCAAACCCGGGAGGCGGAGCTTGCAGTGAGCTGAGATCCGGCCACTGCACTCCAGCCTGGGCGACACCGCGAGACTCCGTCTCAAAAAAAAAAAAAATTCAAAAAAAAAAAATAAAGTGGAGGGACTGAGTCCCCTGCCCAAGGTTTCACAGGTATGCAATGACTGGCACCAGGTGACTTTACCTGCCCTGTGAGTTGAAACAGATCAATCAGATCTGTCAGCAGCCCTATTTCCTAGCTGAGGAAACTGAGGCTCGCAGAGGTAAACCTCACAGGACCAGGCCCATCCTATGCAATTGGAGCTGGAGGCCTCGGCCTCTTCCTGCCCTTCTCTGGCTCAGGTGTGGTGGCTCGTGACTGTAGTCCCAGCTACTCGGGAGGCTTGGGTGGGGGAATGCCTGAGGCCTTCTCTCTGGCCAGCCCCTGAGGCTAAATGACAAGGGTCCCTCCTTTCTCCTTAGGGTCAAAGTTCTATCTGCTGGTGCAGGGCAGACAAGCCAGGGGTCTCAAACTCAAAGGTTCTAGGGTCAGGAGGCTCCAAGCAAATACGAACTAGGCCTGGGTAAGTGCTAGGGAGTAGTGGGGACTGTGGCAGCTGGAGTGGCCACTCTTAGTCTTATGGGACAGTGACTGCTGCTTCTGAAATCGAAGTCATTAGTGCCACAAAGGTCAAAGGCTCAGCAAGGCCAGGTAATACTGATTACAACAACAGCAACCATGCCTATAAGACCCATGCACTCGACATGCATCACCCATCCAGGCCCCAGGGTACCAGTTACCACCCTCAGCTTACGGAAAAGGAATCTGAGGCCCAGAACACCAAATCCACGTGGCCGAGTCGCACAGCCAAACGTGGTGGAACCAGGCCTTAGGCCCACAGCTTGTGCACCACAACTCCAAACTCTATAGATCTGAGTGTCTCAGCACCACAAGAAATCCAGATATTGACTAGAAATCTAACATTGGAAAACCTTATTAAAAACAAAAGCTACGCAGGTAAAACAAAAGACCCAGCAGGCAGGCCTTGGCCCTCAGAGCCAGTGATGTGGACCTCCAGCTACAGGGCTGAACTAACTGGGCTGTTCCCACTCGGACCACATCCTTAGAAAATCCAGGCTCGGCGCAATGGCTCACACCTGTAACCCTAGTGCTTTTAGAGGCAGAGGCGGGAGGATCGCTTGAGCCTAGGAGTTCGAGGCTGCAGTGAGCTAGGACTGCACCCCTCCACTCCAACCTCGGCAACAAAGAGAGACCCTATCTCTTACCAAAAAAAAAAAAAAAAAAAAAAAGTAAGCCTTGTTTGAGCCCGTCATACCCAAAGAGAAGCCTTTTTTTATGCCGCCCTCATAAGGCTTAAGTGTGTAACATGAAAGCACTTTCATTCTGGTTAGCTTTTGTCACTGACAGCAAAGGAACCAGCCAGATAAACAACAACAGCCCTATCCATGTAGACCTACTATGTGCCAGGCACTGCATTAGGTAAGCACTTCCTTTTCTTTTCTTTTTTTTGAAACAGGATCTGGTTCTGTCACCCAGGCTGGAGGGTAATGGTGCGATCACAGCTCACTGCAGTCTGGACATCCTGGGCTCAAGCAATCCTCCCAGGGCCAGCCTCGTGAGTTGCTTGGACTACAGGTGTGGGACTACTACCCTACCTGGCTACTTGTTTTATTTTTTGTAGAATGGTGTCTTGTCATGTTACCCAGGCTGGTCTTGAACTCCTGGGGCCCGACCTGGTGGCTCACGCCTGTAATCCCAGCACTTTGGGAGGCCAAGGCGAGAGGATCACTTGAGGTAAGGAGTTCGAGACCAGCCTGGCCAACATGGTGAAACCCCGTCTCTACTAAAAATACAAAAATTAGTTGGGCATGGTAGTGGACGCCTGTAATCCCAGCTACTCGGGAGGCTGAGGCAGGAGAATCGCCTGAATCTGGGAGGCAGAGGTTGCAGTAAGCCAAGATCATGCCACTGCACTCCAGCCTGGGAGACAGAGCGAGACTCTGTCTCAAAAAAAAAAAAAAAAAAAAAAAAAAAAAAAAACTTGTTTAGGAGTGTCAACCAAGACTTAGAGAAGCCAAGACAACCTGTGCAAGGTCACAAGGCATGTGAAAGAGACAGAGCTTTGCAAACACCGTGGTAAGACAGAAGGCAATGAGCCAGAGACAAGGTAGCAAAGGAGGAAATTCGTGCTGCTGGGAGGAAAGCCCCAAGGCTCTGGGATAGCAGACACAAGGCTTTACGCCAGCCTGGTGGCCTTGGGTGAACACAGTTCCTTCTAAGCCTCCCAGCTCAGCTAACGTGGGGATGGTAACACAGCCTCCACCCCACTCCTTACTTGGGATTCAAGATGTTGAATCAAGAAAAACATTATCCCTTGACACTGATAAAAACAATAACAGGCCGGGCGCGGTGGCTCAAGCCTGTAATCCCAGCACTTTGGGAGGCCGAGACGGGCGGATCACGAGGTCAGGAGATCGAGAGACGATCCCGGCTAACACGGTGAAACCCCGTCTCTACTAAAAAATACAAAAAAATAGCCGGGCGAGGTGGCGGGCGCCTGTAGTCCCAGCTACTCGGGAGGCTGAGGCAGGAGAATGGCGTAAACCCGGGAGGCGGAGCTTGCAGTGAGCTGAGATCCGGCCACTGCACTCCAGCCTGGGTGACAGAGCAAGACTCGTCTCAAAAAAAAAAAAAAAAAAAAAAAAAAAAACAATAACAATGACAATAATGACAGGAGGAGGATGTTATCATTTGGCAGCCACACCACTACAAATGAGTAGTTCCTGGAATGGAGAAGTGGCCGCCCATCTGGGAGACAAGAAAGGCAAGAGGGGTTGGTGGGAGGGAGAGGTGGCTGCACGGGCTGTTCTCATTCATTTGCTTCCTGAATCCTGGAAACAGCCCAGAGAGTGGAGTCTGCCCACTGGACAGATGGGCACACCGCGGCTTCTCAGGGCTGTCCAGAGAAGGCTACATCCCAGGGCTAGCCACTGAGGCCTGGTCACGCGAGAAGCCCCTTCCCAGGCTCCAAAGGAGGGCCCCCAATTGGCAGGCTGTAGCTGGGAGGCGGGCCCTGTGTTCTAGCACCCTGAAAGGAATCCTGAAGTAAGGTACCCCCAGGGTCCTCCTTCTAGCTGACAGGGGAAGTAGGGTTCAAACCTCATCCTTCAGCTGTATTCTCCCCTCTACCCTCCTGCCACCCACTTCCAGAGGCGCTGGGCCAGACACTCAGGGGTAGTCATGCGCAGAACAGGAGATGGCCAGACAGACAGAAGAATGACGGAAGAGAGGACCAGCTCTAGGCAGGGACTAAGCTCTAAGAGTCAGCCTGAGAGAATCAAACAGGGTCCCCTAGGAGTAAGCTAGCCAGTCAGACAGTGGAGGCCAGCTGGTGTCACCCAACAGAGGGACTGCTCAGTGTTAAAGTCTGTGAGGGGCACGGATGGGCGGCCAGACAGCAGAGGTCACCCTTTACAGCTAGCCAGACAGCAGGGGGCTGCCAGGTGGGACTGGACAGATGGACAACCAAATGGTTGTGGCAGGGAGGCTTGCCCAGGACAGAGAGACAGCCAACCAGATGGCGGGGGCAGCTCCAGATACAAGAACAAGCCAGCCAGACCGCAGGGGTCGCCCCAGTAGATATCTAGATGGCCGGTTTCACCTCTGATAAACAGCCCGAAAGAGCAGAAGAGGGATCTACCCCAGACCCACGGGCAACCAGACGGCAGAGTTCACCCACGAAAGCTGGGACCAGATGGACCGCAGGATTCCAGCACACCTCCGGTCCTACGGCCCCCCGGCCCATGACGCCGCCCCTGGGGCCCAGGCCCGCTCCCGAGCCCCTGCAGGGAGTCCTCTGCCCAGGGCGTCCCACAGGGCCCGCCTCCCCGACCCCGTCCGGTTCCCCGCCGCCGGCACGCAAGCGCCGCAGTTACGCCGGCGGCGCAGGGAGCGCCATTCCCGGTCCGCCCTCCGCACCCTAGGCCGCCGCCCGCCCGCGATCCCTGCCGCGCCCGCTTACCGGCCCACGAAGTTCTCCAGCACCGAGCTCTTGCCGGCGCTCTGGCCGCCCACCACAGCGATCTGCGGCAGGTCCAGGTGGCAGCTCTGGCCGATGGAGCTGAAGGCGTCCTGCAGCTTGTTGACCAGCGGGATCAGCTCTTCCATCCCGCGGTTGCCCATGGCGCCGGCGGCCCCCGGCCCGAGCGCCCTGCGCTCCCCGCCGCCGCCGACCCTCAACGACCTGGCCCCGCGGCGTCTGTAGCCGTTGCTCTCCGCCCGCCCGGGCCTCGGCAAGACGCCCGCTCCCGGCTCGGCCTCACGGTCGCCGCCTCATCCGGTTCTCAGGCTACACCCGACCCAAGCGACCTCCCGCCCCGGCCCCAGGGCTGCGCACAAATCACTCGCGCCGCACGCGATTGGCCTGCTGCGCCGCCACTCGGGCACACTAGCTAATAAAAACGAGGCACAAGCCAATGGTTGAGTAAACCTTCCCCCTGAGGACCGTCTTGCTGGTTTATTGGACAAAAGAACCGTCACTGTTGTGCAAAAGCCAATAGCGGCAGAAAGCAAGTTGTCAAGAGAGGAAGGAGGTGTTTCAGAAAAATGCACTTTGGCTCCGCCCATTGGCGAGGTTACACCATCTTATTGGCAGGCAGACGTGCCAGTCGACAATGTGGACCAATGATGTTAGGGATTGAGCTACTACCTAGTTCCCTAAGAATTTCCCATTGGTTCATATAAATATCACTTCGTTGCTCCAGCCAACCAGGCAAAAGAGGGCGGGGTGTAACATCCGAATCTTCACTATGATTGAGAACCATATCTGTCAATCAGAAAAACTCGCGTTCTTCCCCTGTGATTGTTAGATATCTGCAACAGTCTTCTGAAGTACAGGATAGGTCCCACCGTACTCGCTCAAGGGCGACACCTCGTGGTGGGATCCGATGTCTCGATTTTTGAGTTTCCTGGCTCTGGGGAAAACTACAAGTCCCAGAACGCATCTCAGTGCCCAGACTGCAAACCAACTCTGGGACCAGGGTCCCAATGCACTCTGTAAATGGGTAAGGCCAAGTCATTGCTTCCCAGAGACAGAACGCAGTAAAATCACTCCTCCTCCACGCCTTTGCAAATACTGTGCCCTTTCTGCTCACGCCCGATCTTGACGCCGCTAACGCTCCAAAGTTTTTTCCCCGGCTTCTTCAACTTTAGCAGAGCATGAATCTTTTTTTTTCTCTTTTTGAGACGGGGTTTCACTCTGTCACCCAGGCTAGAGTGCAGTGGCGCGATCTTGGCTCACTGCAACCTCTGCCTCCCCAGTTCAAGCAATTCTCCTGCCTCAGCCTCCCGAATAGCTGGGATTACAGGTGCACGCCACCACACCCAGCTAATTTTGTATTTTTAGTAGACAGAAAGGGTTTCACCCTATTGGCCAGGCTGGTCTCGAACGCCTGGCCTCAAGTGATCTGCCCATCTTGGCCTCCCAAAGTGTTGGGATTACAGGCGTGAGTCACCGCGTCTAGCCAATGAATCTTCCTTTCCTAGAGACTGGGTCTTGCTCTGTTGCCCAGGCTGGAGTGCAGTAGTGGACTCATAGCTCAATTCAACAAGCACTTGGGCTCAAACGATCCTCCCGCCTCAGCGTCCCAAGTAGCTGGAACCACAGGCATGCCCTGAGTCAACTATGCCCAGCTAATTATTTTTATTTTATTTTTTATAGAGACAGGGTCTTGCTGTGTTGTCCAGGCTGGTCTCAAACTCCTGGGCCCAAACGACTGTCACAGACCAGCCTCCCAAAAGTGCTGGGATTACAGGTGTGAACCCCCCAACTGGCTTTGGATCTTTTTGAACACCCACTAAAACTCAACGAATCCTCTCCCCGTGAAAAGATACGCTATTTTGTAGGCAAAATTGGGGTTCTGGGAACTGGAACTCCTGACAATGGACAGAGGCAAATAGGATTTGAAGTGTTTTGATCCCTCTGGAGACAAACAGGATTTGCATTGTTTTGATCCCTCTGGAGACAAATAGGCCAGAGACCAGGAAACCCAGTGAGGAAGCAGGAGCAGGTAAGTGCTCTGACCTGAGGCAGCACAAGAAGTTGGAGAAAGAGGAGGAGAGTGGTTCATGGCATTTGCCTGTTTTGTGACCCAAAACCCCAGGTCTCAAAGAAATAGACAAAAAGGGCCAGGTGCAGTGGCTCATGCCTGTAATCCTAGCACTTTGGGAGGCTGAGGCGGGTAGATCGCCTGAGGTCAGGTGTTTGAAACCAGCTTGGCTAATATGGTGAAACCCCGTTTCTACTAAAAATACAAAAAATTAGCCAGGCGTGGTGGTGCGTGCCTGTAATCCCAGCTACTCCAGAGGCTGAGGCAGGAGAATCGCTTGAACACAGGAGGTGGAAGTTGCGGTGAGCCGAGATCGCACCACTGCACTCCAGCCTGGGCAACAAGAGCAAAATTCCGTCTCAAAAACAAATAAACAAACAAACAAAAAACGTTGAGGAAACTCTTCATGTACTGAAGTATAAATAATATGAGATATACTAAGAGGAAAAAACAAGCAAGGTACAGAATTGTGTGTGAAGGATGCTGACATGCATGAAAACCATATGTACACATGGAAAATTGCTGGAAAATACACAAACTGATAAAAGCAGTTGCACTTTTGATGTGATTTGAATTGTGGATTATATACATGTATTACTTTTTCACTTTTTTTTTGAAACAAAAGTCTTGCTCTATTGCCCAGGCTGGAGTGCAGTGATGCAATCTCAGTTTACTGCAACCTCTGCCTCCCAGGTTCAGATGATTCTCCTGCCTCAGCCTCTCAAGTAGCTGGGACTACAGGTGCATGCCACCATACCGGCTAATTTTTGTGTTTTTAGTAGAGACGGGGTTTCACCATGTTGGCCAGGCAGGTCTCAAACTCCTAACCTCAGATGATCCACCCTCTTGGCCTCCCACAGTGCTGGGATTGCAGGTGTGAGCCACTGCGCTTGGACTTTTTTTCTTTTTTTTTTTTTTTTTTTTTTTTTTTTTGAGACGGAGTCTCGCTCTGTCACCCAGGCTGGAGTGCAGTGGCCGGATCTCAGCTCACTGCAAGCTCCGCCTCCCGGGTTCACGCCATTCTCCTGCCTCAGCCTCCCGAGTAGCTGGGACTACAGGCGCCTGCCACCTCGCCCGGCTAAGTTTTTGTATTTTTAGTAGAGACAGGGTTTCACTGTGTTACACAGGATGGTCTCGATCTCCTGACCTCGTGATCCGCCTGTCTCGGCCTCCCAAAGTGCTGGGATTACAGGCTTGAGCCACCGCACCCGGCCTTCTTTTCTTTTTTTGAGATGGAGTCTTGCTCTGTCACCCAGGCTAGAGTATAGTAGTGCGATCTCGGCTCACTGCAACCTCTGAGTCCTGGCTTCAAGCGATTTTCCTGCCTCAGCCTCCAGAGTAGCTGGGATTACAGGCATGTGCCATCACACCCAGCTACTTTTTGTATTTTTAGTAGAGATGGGGTTTCACCATGTTGGCCAGGCTGGTCTTGAACTCCTGACCTCATGATCTGCCCTCCTTGGCCTCCCAAAATGCTGGGATTACAGGTGTGAGCCACCACCCCCGACTTTTTTTTTTTTTTTTTTTTTGAGATGGAGTCTCGCTGTCTCTCAGGGTGGAGTGCAGTGGTGCAATCTTGGCTCACTGCAACATCCATGTCCTGGGTTTAAGTGATTCTCCTGCCTCAGCCTCCAGAGTAGCTAGGACTACAAGCACGTGCTGCCACACCCAGCAAATTTTTGTATTTTTAGTAGAGATGGGATTTCACTGTGTTGGCCAGGCTGGTCTCAAACTCCTTGACCTCAAGTGATCCGCCCGCCCGATTGGCCTCCCAAAGTGCTGGGATTATAGGTGTAAGCCACTGCGCCTGGCCTACTTTTTCCATTTCAAAAACTTCATTTTTGAAGAGCACTGGTTTTTGTTTTTGAGACACAGTCTCACTCTGTTGCCCAGCCTGGAGTGCAGTGGTGCAATTGCGGCTCATTACAGCCTCAACCTCCTGAGCTTCAGCGATCCTCCCACCTCAGCTTCCTCAGTAGCTGGGAACACAGATGCACACCACCTGTATTTTTTGTAAAGATGGAGTTTTGTCATGTTGCCCGGGCTGGTGAAGATCACTAGTTCTGTAACTGATCATATCTGGCTTAGATCCTGGACCTGTTTATCTACTGATTACCATGGTCTGAATGTCTATAGACCAGCCCCTACCCGCTCACCCACCACACCAAGATTAATATGTGGAAACATAATTCCCCAACATGATGGTAACTGGAGGTGGGGCCTTTGGAAGGCGATTAGGTGATTAGGTGAATGGGATTTGTGCCCTTATGTATTTTTTTTCTTTTCACAAACCTGCTGAGTGTCTCAGTGTGCCCTTATAAAAGAAACCCCAGAGAGCTGCCTTCCGCTACGTGAGATTAGAGAAAAGATCGCCATCTAGGAAGTTTGCCCTCAACAGACACTGAATCTGCTGGTACCTTGATCTTGAATTTCCCAGCCTCTAGAACTGTGATAAATCAATTTCTGTTGTTTATAGCCACCCAGTTGATGGTATTTTGTTATATATAGCAGCCAGAACGGACTAAGAAAGTGACAGTGACCATGTAACTTCATTCCTCTGCACCTCAGTGTCCTCCTCTGTAAAATGGAATACGACTGACTGTACATGCAACATTAAGTTGCAAGAATAATCAACTTGATGATTATAGACCTGGCATGGCAGCTCCAGATCGAGGCTACAGTGAGCCATGTTTGAACCAATGCACTCCAGCCTGGATGACAAAGCGAGACAGTCTCAAAAAAAAAAAAAAAAAAAGAGGCTGGGCACTGTGGTTCACGCCTGTAATCACGCTTTGGGAGGCCGAGGCAGGCAGATCACTTGAGGTCAGGAGTTTAAGACCAGTCTGGCCAACATGGTGAAATCCCATCTCTATTAAAAATACAAAAATTAGCTGGGCATGGTGGCACACGCCTG